CTATTCCAAGTACTAACATTAGAATGAGTTATCTATTGCTGTGGTACAAATTACCTCAAAACATAGTAACATAAAACAGGAATTCGTGCAGTGTTTCATGAATTCTCTACTTGATAGTCTCTCCAAGTTTGCAATCAAGGTATTTTATATATTATTAATAATAAAAAAGTAGGAATGTGAATGAATGATTTATATATGTTCATTATTCACTTTTCTCTATAAATACTTTAACATACACTTATTGATGTCCAGATACACCTTTCCCCTTAAGAGTCCAATGTAGGAGGGTGACTTGGTTAGAAATGACTCTACTGCAATTTATAAAGTCTGTATTAAATGGAAGGGAAAAAGAATCTCAGGTTAAAGGTTATGTGACAAATAAACAGTCTGCATTGTCTTCTTTTATCAGGTGGCTTGTGGAGTCTGCTCAGTGGCTGATTATCTACAATCAGCTAGATGAGGGCTTAAAGGAACTTAGAAGAGTTGCACACATAAATGGAAAAAAGAATGCTGGAGAGACCCTGACCATTGAGGTGATCTGGAAAGGGGAGCTGGTCACGAGGAGCAAATGAAAACATGACCTTACAATCACACTAGTCTGGGTTCCTGGGGTAACTACACGTCTAGAATTAGGATTCTGTGGGTGGGACCTTACATCTCTGTCCTGGTTGCCCACCAATTCATCATTGGGGGTTGGGGCGAGCACTGAAAACACCATCGTTTCTTTTGTCTTTTGCGAGGATTTGGACATAGATATCAGAGAAGTTCATATAATTCACTTATGTGCACTTGTGCACATGTTCAGTGGCAGAAGTGCACGTAATTATCAGAACAAGTTGGTCATCATGTTTTCATGCTCTTATCCTAGACATGTAGGGGAAAGACACTGGCACACAATTCATTTCCCACTATTCAGTAACTCTTGTGCCTTCTAGGGGACATAGGAAAGCCAATGAAGGAAAGGGAAATTAACCATGCAGAAGAAAGATTTAAAAGTTTGATTTTAATTTTATGCATTGATTCACTAACTCAATAAATATTGATTGAGCATCAAATATAAGTGAAATACTGTTCTACACAATGTCAATATGATATGTCCGTAAAATAGATTAAAATCCCTTTTTGGCATTTACATTGTCCTCATTAGAGGGTACTAATGTGCCTGAGTAGGAAAACTGAGATTTTTTTTTTGAAGTTAGCCTCCACATGACTGGAATCCAGGTACTGGTATGGTTCATTCTAGCACTCTTTCATTTCTTCAAAAAAAATACGTACATCTTGCCAGTCTGGAGACAGATATTAACCAGAGAATAAGTCAGATACTCTGCCCTCAAAGAACATGAATTTTACTATGGAATATAGAAATTAAAAGACCATTATCATATAAAATAAGTGCTATGATAAGGTTACATGCAGACTATTTTTGAGAGAACACGGATGCAGTAACCACTCCAGCTTTAATGAGCCAGAAAAGGGTTGTCACTTAGCTGGTAAGAAGGGAGAGGAAAGGCATTTCAGCCATCACAGGGACTGGTTGTTACAGGCACAACTGACAGATGGCCAATATCAGTCCTGAGAGAGAGCAAATGCCATATAGAAAAAAATTTCAAGAAAGGAAAACACAATGCTTCTACCCTCTGGCCCCAAAGATTCCATCCTTCTGACTTGATGAATAAGTTGCCACATGCCTAATGTCCAGAAAAGTATTAATATTATTTCATGTGGACCACATCCAGAGTCTTACATTTAAATGAGGTCTGAGTGTGGATGAGACTACTTATATGTAGTTCTCTAACTATTGCACCTTGTTTTTGTACATCTGTGAAACTTACGAGTCAGGATGCCTGTCCCCAACACATCCAACATACAGTGGGGACACCTATTGCATGGAGTGACTAACGTACACAATACCGTTCAAAAGAGGGGGAGATGCGAGGCACAAGGAGTTCAGAGCAATTATAAAATCCAGCTAGACAAATGTTAGCAGTTCCTTGAGTAGGTCTCAGGGCAGAGAAGAGGAAAGCAACTTCACTCTCAGCTACAGCCTCTTGCCTCCTGGGTCCAACCTCTGAGTTGACTTTCCTCTTTCATGAAAGATAAAACCTGTGTGCAGCTGAATAGGATTCTCAACCAGCTTCCAACAGTAGCATATTGGGGACTGCACAGCCCTTCTCACTTCTCTCTGTCACTTGCAGTCAAGTTGGCAGCGTTTTTTTTCATAAAGACTTCTATAAAACATTGTAGAGCCCTGTGAATCTCATCGGGGTTCATTTTGTCAGACAAGATCTGCAATTCACAATAACATCTTTGACATAAGCTCTTCTCTGCTTTGGGCTCCTGCTGAGAGGATGGAGAGACAGTGCACCTAAGTATCCTATAGACCCTATTGTTTGATTGAGAATCACATCCTTAATGTCTTTGAAGGGTCCTTTCTGAAAATTATACTGATCCTTTGATCTTTCTGAGATCTTGAGAAACGTTGTGTAGTCACATGCTGGACTTTATCTCTAGATTAAGTTTTATCTCTAGACTGTGTTTTCCTGACCTTGCTCCAAAGCCATTTCTTAATGTTAGTGGCATTTGTCATTTGGAGAGGCTGAGAGCTCCTAGTTCCTTTTGTTACCAAAATTTAGGCACTTGTCCCCGAGGCTGCGTCAGAAGAATGAGAACAAGTGAACTGAGGAAATGGAAGGATAAGTTTATTAATTTGCCTACAATGAGGAGGTTGGCAGACTCCCATCTTAAAGTACCAAGGTCCTGCCTCTGAGCAGAAATACAGAGCTTTTAAAGGGGATGTTTTCAGCTTAAGTCTAATGCTGTTCAACTATACTTGATCGTTCTGATTTATCCCATCTTCAGCTAAGATGATCTGGTGACCTCCACCTGGACAAATCCCTTGAGCCACCTCCTGTGGTACAAAGAACAAAGAACACTCCCCTGCCCCTCCTGACCACTGTCCTGAGGCAGGGATACAGGTTTTAATTCCCAAAAGAGAGGGGAGTTTTTAGAGAGACACAAAACATTTTTTCCTTTTTCAGACCATTACCCCTGTTACAACTTTGTTTAAAAATTTTCCTCTGTTTACCTCGTTCCTCTTGCTTTTGTTACTAGCAGGAAGAAGAAATCAGGAGGAATCTTCAACATCTTGATTGCAAATCAGCTTAGCTAGATAATCAAGTTCACTGAATACATGTCCTATTTTCTACATGAATGCACATGATAATATTGTTAAATTTCTACCACTACATAAGAAGCACTCCTGGTCTACTAGTTTTTAGTAACATGTTTCTGACTCCCTATTCGGCCCTCAAAAGCAGCCTGCTCTCAAGGTTTAGATTTTTACTATAATTGTTCAAGGCAATATATGCTTTCTCTATCACAGTCTCTAAAAATCCCATCAGCCTCCTCCCACTGCCAATTCCAAATAGAGTCTGAAATTTTTAGCTATTTGTTACAGCAACACTTTATTCTAAGTACTAACATTAGAATGAGTTATCTATTGCTGTGGTACAAATTACCTCAAAACATAGTAACATAAAACAGGAATTCGTGCAGTGTTTCATGAATTCTCTACTTGATAGTCTCTCCAAGTTTGCAATCAAGGTATTTTCTGGGACTGTGATATCACCCGAAGTCTCCACTAGAGAAGAATGTATTAATACTTTCAAGCTCACTCACATGGTTTTTGGAAGGATGAAGTTCCTTTCAGATGGTTGGACTAAGGACCTCATTTCCTGTCACGTGGATCCCTCCAACATGACACAGTGTTTCTTTAAGATGTACAGCTGGAGAGGGCATCCAGCACCACTGGAAGTCACAGTCTTTATAATCTACACATAGAAGTAGCAGCTCATCACTTTTGCTGTATTCTATTTATTAGCAGCAAGTCACTATATCCACCCCAGACTCAAGAAGAGGAGATTACACATGAGAGTATGAATAACAAGAAGTGGGGATAATTGTGGGCTAGCTTTCAAAATTACCAACCAGTTTTCATTTGAAAAAACTTCTCCTCCATCCAACCATATATTCTGTCCACTTTGATCTTAGCATCTATTCTGATATATACCTTCCTGCCAGCGTGCATCAGCTTAGAAATTGAGCACTTTGTGCATACAGGCCCTTTCCTACTCCGACAGACAAAACACTTCCCCAGGCAGATTATATATATTTTTTAACTATTTTTTATTCATTTGTTTTTTAATGTCAGCATATTACAGGGATACAAATGTTTAGGTTACGTATATTGCCTTTGCCCCAGTGGAGTCAGAGCTTCAAGCGTGTCCATCCCCCAGACGGTGTACACTACACCCATTAGATGTGAATATACCCATCGCCTCCTCCCCCTCCCACCTGACCGACGCCTGATCAGTGTTACTACTCTATGTGCACATAGTGCTGATCAGTTAATACCAATTTTATGGCAATACATAAGTGGATTAATAAAATGTGGTATATGTATGCCATGGAATTCTACAGATTATATTTTTTCTTTACTCTAGTTATTAGTCTAATAGGAGGCCAAAGATGATAGATCATGGTGGGACGAGGCAAGTATTTTCCTGCAAATATAAACTTCTGCAATATCTTTCAACAAGGCAAGAACACTAGGTTTTAACAGGGAGAAGTGACCTACTCTTTCAGCCCGAGTAGTACAAAAGAATGTGGAGATTCAACACGATCATATGCATCAACTCAGATACACCCATCCCATCATAAGTTCTACTTCCTCTCAGTCAGGGCCATGAACTTGGCAAAGGAGACCGGCCAAGGTTCAGATTTTTAGGCTTTCCTGAAGGTACTCTTAATGTTGAGTCCTGGGACTTGATCTTCAGTTTTCTGCCCTCCCCCTCAGGCGATGAGGGTCTCTTTATAAGCAGCTTGCTATATGCACCCTCTGGATTTCATATTTCACTTTATATTGGTTGTCAGTCACTATCAGTTTTCCATTATCTGTCTTCCATGCACTGATAGGCCCTTACAATAGCCACCCAATTCCAATGTCCCTCTAGTTATTATTTTTCTTGAAACCTTCAAAATCCTGAGATCATACACATGCTGATACATACTGTTCTATAACTAACCCATCCCTGTTCACCACGAGTGAAATTTTTAATACTCGTATCACAACTGCATACTCCAAGTAATACCAGTTATGAGATATTCATCAGATGATGTAGTTCTAAATTGTCACTGTAGCATTAACGTCTTTCCCTAGCTCCAGCCAGCAGCAATGATTGAAGCTTCAGTTCCTCAGGAAGTAGGAAATCAGAGATTTGTGTGCGGGAGTTTCATTGGGGAGTGTTGACAGGAACATTATCTATTAGAAGTGAGAGTATAGGATTGGACAAAAAAAAAAAAAAAAACAAAACATGCAGTTGCAACAGAGGCCCAGAGGATCTTTCAGGGAACTCTGATGCTGGAATTGCCCAACAGAGTTTCTCTGCCTTGCAGCGAGGAAGCCTGGCTTTTATATGTCTGAATTTACCAGCCATTGAATAAGGACAAGGGTATCATATTCCCCACTAGAAAGAAATTTCCTTGAGGATAGTGGACAATGTGTCTTGCTCATCCTCTAGTAGTTCGCACTAAGCCTGGCTTATTGACGTCTCATAAATGCTTGTTATTTTTGTTGTTGAAGTTTCTGAGATCCACCATGCAGCAGGAGTTGGATGAAGCCCAGAGCCAAGCATCAGTTTTTTGCTTGCTCCGTGCGCCCAGACTGCGAATGAGAGTCCTCTGCCTGAGCTTTATAAGGTAAGCTCCATTTGGTGATGATTAATTTTAAAAGATTAGTTATGCAAATTCATTTCTTCTTCCAAAAAAATTAGCAGCAGCATTGTGGAGGGCAGATTAACACATAAGAGAAGAGAAAGTGATCTCAAAGTGTATGTTTTTTTTTTTTTTTTTT